ATTCAAGCCGTCTCCAGCCATTATTAGTCTCAAAGTGGGTTCCTCATCATCGAATAAGGTTCCTTCTATTGTTCTAGGCCTGCAGCCTCAACAAGTATTGCTTGAGAACAGCAGTTCTCAAACCTGAGGACTCCTTTTAACTTAGATTTTTTGCAGACTCCCAAACCTATTAATGTATTTTGCTTTGAAAAACAAGATTCCACGTACACAAAAAGTTGTATTCAAAAATTAAATGTTTTAATTCATATAAATTTAATATTATGAAAAATATTTTTTATTCTATAAACCATATTTTTGTAAATATATTTATGAAATTTCAGAAATAATTAGCAGCCATCTAAGGGTTTGCAGACCTTAGATTGAGAAATGCTGCTACAGAAGAATTTTTAGGCCTAAAATTAAGCAACAGATAACTGCACCATTTGTCAGTTCAATGTCTCTGAATTAATAAATATATAAAAAAATAATAAATATCTGCCAAATTTAATTGACTAATTGCTAATAATATTTTTTTTTTACATGGCCAACAAGCCTATGGTAAAAATAATGAAACTGTTAAAGGTTTAGAACACTTAGACATATTGAACTTGTTTTAAAATATATTCATACATTTATCATATATGGCTAACCTATTTACCCATTATTTCATAGGGGAAAAAAGTAAAAAAAAATTAGTATTAGAAATATATTTTGTTTGTTTATTTGTTCATAAACTCTACAATAGGCTATCTGAACCCCAATTTTCAGCAATATAATTAAGCCCTAAAGCTTACAGCAAAACAACTGGGGGTAGGATGAGATACGAAATAAAAAATATGTATTATCTAGAAATAGTAAGTAATACAGAACAAGTGCTTGGGTCTAATGAAGGTCTAATATACAAAGAAGTCCAGCAATGTACTGAAACACTTCTACATTGCAAGCTAGTTGTCTGTTTATCAGATTTAATGGGCCTGTGACCACTAGTGTTAGAACTTTGAAAGTACTTACAAAAACAATATTAAAAAATAAAGGTGGTAATGCCTTATTATATAACTTAATTAGTGATTTTTTTAACCTAACTACACTTAGAGCACTAACTTACAAAGAGCACAAAATAACTGTATAGATTTATGAGCAAATCAATGGAGTAGCATCCAATGAAATTTACCAGCCCATAACAATTACTAATTTTTTTCTTTTCATCAGCAATTTTAGTTTAAAATGCTTTGATGCTTCATAATATTTTGTCCTGTACTTTCACTTCTATAATTCTCACCCACCAGGTGATCCCGAGATGCGACACTTGAAGACTGCTGGTTGTCCTTCTTTTATTGTAACAGGCTTCAATGTCTCTATGATTTCAGGTCCCTTACATGCAGTTTCTTTTGGTACTTCTTTTGGAGAAAGGTGTTTAACTTTGGATGCAGTACCTGAATTAAACATTGTTTCAATGAATAGATTTCTGTTCCTAGGGTACAGTATAATGATTAGAAATAACTGTAGTCTATTTGTTCTACAAAATTTATATCATGCTAATATAAATTACACTTTCAAGGTTAGATAAGAGGCCAGTTGACCCATTTAGGGCATTCCATTTTCTACAGCTTTCCCACTCCAAACTACGTACAAAAATATACCTTTTCTTATATCCAATCCTCTAAAATACTCATTCAATATTCTCTTAAGTTCCTTCAATGTTGCAGCTTCTACCATAACTGAAGGCGGACTACTCGACAAGCCAACTACCCTAATTGGAAGGTAACGTTGTCTTTTAATAAATACATAACTGTACCTACTAAAGTTTTATATACATTCAATATTCTCTTAAGTTCCTTCAATGTTGCAGTTTCTACCATAACTGAAGGCGAACTACTCGACAAAGCCAACTACCCTAATTGGAAGGTAACGTTGTCTTTTAATAAATACATAACTGTACCTACTAAAGTTTTATATACATTCAATTTCACATGTTCTCTAGTACTACTGGCTGAAATTTTGTTAATAGAAAAATCATCTTGATTTACAGATTCCAAACCTCTAACACACTTAAAAACCTCAATCATGTTTCTCCACCTTGTCTTCTGAATTATCATCCCTAGTGAAAACTTATCAATAGGTTTTAGTTGATCCCCATACAATAACCCCTCAAACCTGGAATTATCCTCATAGCTCTTCTCGAAACCCTCTCCAACAACTCAACATCCCTTCTTAGAAAAGTGACCAAAACTGAAAATAGTATTCCAAATGAAGTCTAACCTGCAAAAGTGAACTGATGACCTCCTTCTACTTGTACTCAATATTTCTAAGTATACAACTTAAAACCTTGTTTGCCTAATTAGTAACAACCTTGTATTGTCTAGAAGGCCAGAGAAATCTTTCTCTTCATCAACTTAACTTAGAATATCATCTGCGTTTTGTTAAGAAATTTGGTGAACTAGGGTAATAAAACTTAAGGTTATGCATATTGATTATCACAGCATTAATTATCGTTATAGTTTTGTTAAGAAATTTGGTGAACTTGGTAATAAAACTTAAGGTTATGCATATTGGTTACCACAGCATTAATTATTGTTATAGTTTTTATAACAATAATTAATGCTGTGGTAACAAATATGCATAACCTTAAGTTTTATTATCCTAGTTCACCAAATATCTTAACAAAACTACAGCATCTCTAATACCTATTAATTCCATATCTACAGATTTAGCCAACTTGCTGCTTTACTCCTTCATCAATAACGCTAACAAAAATGAGAAAAACCAAAGAATCTATCAGAGAACCATGGCGTACATCTCGTGTAACATTATGCCACTGTGTTTTCACCTAATTTAACCAACTCTCAATCCATTTAACTAATTAATACTCCATACATATTTTCAACTATAACAATCTGGGAACACACTAATTGAAAACATATAGCTACAAAAGATTTAAAATGTACAGTGGAATTTATATGATTTTGAACAGTTTTTCTTGATAGAAAAACATTATAAAACAAAACAAACAATAACCATTGAAACTGAGAATTAAACTTTAAATTCATTGAAGTAATAAGTTTCTTTTCTGATTAATTTAATTGTGTAAAGTTACTATGGTAGTTGGCAGTAATACAAAATATTCTTTAAGGGAAGAAACACAAAGTCATATGTATAAATTGAAACAAGTTGAGAAATAAATCCTCTCTGAACAAAACTTTTCCTAAGCATACTTCCTAATTTATTAGGGACATGATTTGTAGAACACTAGCTGTGTAAAAGTGACTATTCATATGATGCGTGAAGTAATTAAAGTGTAGAGATGTAACCACATCATGACTATATAGTCCGTAAGGCAATGAGTAAAATCAAGTATCTTCCTATCTGACATTCAAAAGGCCATGTTGGAGATGCAAATCTTGCAGGAATGTTATTATCAGAGTTCATTTCTTTTACTGACTGTTCAAAGGCATCTGTTGTCGCGTTACCAGTAGTGATAGTCAAAAGGGAATACATACATCACTAGAAAAAAAAAGAGACCAAGGAAAAAGATAACTGGACAATCTTGTACAGTATGCCAGACATCATACTGTGTTCCAAGTTGGCCAACTTATTCAACAGTGGTGAAAAGCTATCATACAGAAGATAACAATCAGTCTGATAAAAAGGTTACACTGATGCTTCAACCACAAGGCACAGACAATGAATGACTAAAAGCACGTGAGTAATCTGATGAGTTGTGTTTCATCAATTTGTTTTGTACTGATGGTAGATTTAAAAAAATATGAAGAAAACTATAAAATGCACACTTGCTTGAGCTCTTTCAACAGTAAACAATGTTGCTGTAGTGTAATGATGTGGGAAACATCGTCATGGCATCTTTAAACAGTGAACAATGTTGCTGTAGTGTAATGATGTGGGAAACATCTTCATGGCATCTTTCAAGAGTAAACAATGTTGCTGTAGTGTAATGATGTGGGAAACATCTTGATGGCATCTTTCA